CATTAAATTTCAAATTCCATTAAACAATCTCTTTTTTTTTGTAAATTTGAATGTAGTTTGTCAAGATTTATATATAGGTTATTACAATAAATAAATGAGATTGTTCAATGTCCTAGTGGTATGGGGAGCATTTTTTTCCATAGAGGTTGAACCTTTAAAAATTTCTTTATAAAAGAAGGATAAAGTTGTATTTTAACACTTTTAAATAATTAGATGTCCTTTTCTTTTGAAGAATCTAGTCAAGGCCTTTTGGAAAAAAACATATCGTGGTTGGCAAACAGAACTAATTCCCCAGTTTTTGGTCCTCCCGCTCCAATTATCACTCCAAGAACCCATTTTTACCCAAGAATAGTGGGAGGGGAAGATTTAGGAGAAAGGCCATTGCTGGCCTGGATTTTGGTGTGTTTGAGACTGCTCAGTCAGTTCTTCAAGCAGCTGGAGTGTTAACTGCTGTCATTGTTGCATATGAAAGTGGTCATTTTTTGGCAGCTTATCTTCAGGGCATCCATTTGAGTAAATTTTCCGTTGCGTTTGGTCCAATCTTAGCTAAATTTAATTCAAACAATGTAGAGTATTCAATTAGAGCAATTCCTCTTGGTGGTTTTGTGGGTTTCCCTGATAATGATCCCAAGAGTGATATTCCCGTTGATGATGAGAATTTACTGAAAAATGGACCAATATTTGATAGGGTTCTTGTTATTTCTGCTGGGGTGAGTGCTAATATAATATTTTCCTATGTCATAATCTTTGCACAAGCGTTGTCTGTTGGATTGCCTGTTCAAGAGGCCTTCCCTGGGGTACTTGTGCCTGAGGTTAGGCCTCATTCGGCTGCTTCGCGAGATGGAGTACTGCCTGGTGATATTATTTTAGCTGTCAATGATATTGAATAGTCGAAAACAGGTCCTAATTTGGTTTTTGAAGTTATTGATGTAATTATGAAAAATCCTGGAAGAAATATATTGTTAAGGTTGGAAGGGGACAGCATAATGTGGAAATTTATGTCACCCCTGGTGAAAATTCAGATGGTACTGGTAGAATAGGAGTTCAATTATCACCAAATGTTAAGCTTTCGAAGATTAAATCATAGACTATTATGGAGGTTTTTAGTTACTCCAGACGTGAATTTTGGGTGCCTAACATCAAATGTCTTGGGGCAGTTTGAAACATAACTTTTTAAAATTTCTCTCAATCCGCCAGTAAGGTTTCCGGTCCAGTTGCCATTATAGCCGTTGTTGCAGAAGTTGCTAAGTCGAACATTGATGGCCTTTTCCAATTTGCAACTGTTTTAAATCTTAATCTTGCAGTAATAAATCTTCTTCCTCTGCCTGCTTTAGATGGGGGCTTGTAGGAGAAAACTTCCATTAGAACTAGAGCAGCAGATTATGTCATCTGGCATCATGCTTGTTATAGTTCTCGGGGTACTCCTCCTTGTTCGTGACACATTAAACCTTGAGTTCTTCAAAGATTTATCATGATACTCGGTTCTGCTTACTATGTGAATTGTAATCTGTTCTGAATATAGTTCCAGATATAGATTTGGAATTTTGTTGGTTCTTTGAGATATCTCACCAAGGAGATGGAATATGCCCGGGAAGCTTGATGCTTTCGCTTCTTCTACGACCTTGTATTCAGGTGCATTTAGCCCTTTCTTGATTTTGTTTTGATGCCAATAGGTTTACAATGCTATGTATACTGCTTGTTACTCATACTGTCTGATTTATGAAAGTCTTAAACAAACTTATCACCATCCTTGGGTACGTGTGCGATTATGAACTCTAGATATTACTTAATAGCTTTCACTTTTTGCAAATTAGTATGTGTTATAGAGTGTGTTTGGTAGGGATTTTGAGGGGGAAGAATTGATTTTGAATAGTGATATGATGGGAAATGTGTGGTTGAAAAAGAAGAAAAAATTATTGATGTGATAAAAAATAATATTTTATTGAAGAATGTGTGGTTGAAAATGAGAATTGATTTGTTGTAGAAAATGAAAATTGATACCAAACAGGCCCTCAATATAAAAGGATTACCATATAAAACCTCAAGCAATTGAACTCCCTGAAAGCCCCCAGAGAGAACTTACACATGCTAATAGAATACAGAGAAACTACAAGCTGAATAACCAAGTCTATTTTGGTTTCTACAAACAATACATTCGAACCAATGACAAAGCCTCTCATTCCTAAATATAATCAAAATAGGATCATACATATCCGTGTATTTAGTATATTAAGTTGGAATTTATCCCAAAAGATAAATACTACAGAATCTTGCAGAAAGTAATAATAAACCTTAAACAGTATCTCGTGAACTTCATATCAATCAAAAATATCAATAGAATCAATCTTACATCACTGGTAGTACATGAGCTGATGTCCAGCAGCAATGTTCTGAAAACCACCATCATAAATGGCCTGGCTTGCTCTGGCACCCATTCCCATAGATGTTTGCTTCAGAGGATCTTGCCCCTGGGCATGCATGAGGGCGCCCATTCTGCTCATTTCAAGTTGCCGCTCATAAGCCAACAGTTCAGTAGCAGAAAAGCTTGGCAAGTATGAGGGGGCAGGAAGTGGCATTGGGTTTGAGCTCATTCCGGGTGGAGTTGGTTTGTTACCCCACGAGCACTGAAGCCATTTAATAAACATTAACAAGTTCGAGTCAAAAATAGAAACAAAAACTATATAGTCCCAAGTAAAATTATCATCAAGACTAAAGACTGAAACAATTACAGACTTATATTTTCTACANTTCTAAATATTTTTGAATTCTCATTTTTGACCCCACAAAACAAATGGTCTGAATCCGCCCCTGATCATGAGATCACTTCAAAAGGGAGCTCATGGGGTTGTCGATTAATGCCATCTGACCCTTAAATTAGTAGGGGCAATAGAATGAGAGGAGAATAATATCTAGAATATATCATACATTATATATGTTGAATTCTGGAGTCTAATTATTGCCGCTCCGTGGAGTCAGTACGGGGATCGGCCTCTACAATAAGGTTGCAGTTGGGGTTGGAAGGGGGTAGGGGGCGGAGCCTCCGGACCAAAATTTCATTAAGGGCATTTTAGGAATTTTTGTAAGTGTGCGAGTTCTCTTCTAAACTTCTTTTCATCACGATGAATTAATGCAGTGGCGAAAGAGAATATCGATACAGTCTCACATTGAGGTAAACCTCTATCAATCTTGTGCATCTTTATTTCTTTTTGCTTCGATGAAATAGAATTTGAGTTTATAATTCTCAACAATATCCACCCTCTTCAGATGTTGATTGACATAGAGTAAGACAACATCTAGATTTTGTTAAGATAATTGAGTTAGTTATCTTAGGAATCTTAAACTAAGCTTTGATTATAAGAAACATTGTTTTGATTGCTAAAGACGGAGTTGAGTAGGACTTGGTTAAATTTTGAAAGATTGTGACTAAACAATTTCATGATCATCCCCATGGTTGGACTGATGTTATTTAAATTTTATTGAGGCATATTTTAGTTGTTAATTCTACGAAGTCCTAGATGCCGAATTCTAGGTTTTAGAACATTAGTTAAGGACAGTTCAAAGTTCCTATTCTTTCGCGACAATGTCGCTTGAAATGAGCATAGTATATATATATCCTACTTCCTTTAAAAGAGAGGATCCGAAATCCACTATTCATTCTGTGCCCTACTTTTCACATGAAGAACTGGTTTTTTGAACTGGCTTTAAAAGAGAGCCATTGCCCTACTTTTCACATGAAGAACTGGTTTTGATATTTCCCTATTCCCATTTTATCCCTCTCTTTCTTCTTTTCGGAGTAAAAAATGTAGGCGGTGAAATGTCCAAAAAATTTGCCGACTGAACTTCTGCAAACCGACTTCCTCTTGAAACTGATTGGTGAAAACAGCTTGAAACTGATTGGTGAAAAATGTAGGCGATCAAAGGTTCTTTCTCCTTATTCCCTCTTCCAGTTTTACTACGGCAACATCACAAAATAATTCCTTTCAAATATTTCAAAATTAAACCTTATAATCTTCGACATATTTGCAGATTAACGTGATATTAAAGGTATATTCTTACTTCTTGTTGTTC